TTTGAATTTGCGAGGTCGTACGTGGGCAGTGGGTCATTACCCTAAAATATCAGCTTCCTAGATTCCTTGGTCCCCGTGATAGCAGTTTATCCGCCAAAAGTTTCACGGGGCCGTACGTATTACCTGCGGGCACGGGAAGGTTGAATTCAAGTTTTCTGGATCGCATGTGGGCAGGGGACATGCCCATAAAATTTCAGCTCCTTAAATTCCGTGGTTCCTGAGACAATGATTTTACCCGCCAAAACTTTTACGGGGCCGTGTTTGTTACCCACGAGTACGGGGAGGCCGAATTTAAACTTGCGAGGTCAAATGCGGCTTCCTTCGGCTTGCGGGACACAAAATTAATAACTGCATCATTAAAAAGAACTCTAACATTAGTAACAGGCTATATGCTTTCTCTTATTTCTGCATTTAATCGATGAAAGCGCAATAATCGAACCTGTTTCGAGCGTAGTTGTTCGCCAAATCTTCATCAAAGAGGCGCACCACAGCTCGACCGGTTTCAGTGTCATAAATCTGAAGTATGCCTTGAAATGTATCGTTTAAATGAAGCGCGATAATCAAATAACACAAATTCAACTCGTTAATGGGCCTAAAACAATGATAACAACGCGGTAGTGACTACAAAAATCTATAAAATTTTCTAAAAAATGATACCGTTGCCGTACTTCCCTGAGTTCCAATGATACGATCTTGACCCATTTTACAAAATTCAACATGATATTCGTCCGGAAAATTTATCATATGTTCCTGCGTTTCACCAATGCGCCACAGCGAAGACAGCGGACATACAAATGCAGATGAAGTGAGCAAAAGCGATCCGTCCTGTGAAGAATATGGTTTAAAGTGTAAACCGCTCCTCCGTTTTACTTTTCCATATAAAAGAATGAGCAACAAACCAAGCATCCAAGCAGCAAATGATCACTAACAGAGCTGCTGGTGGCTCTTTCTTCCAAGAGATGCTTAAGGAGGAAGCAAGGAGGGTAGAAATTTGCCTTAAGCTTAAAGTGTATTAAAAGCGCAAAGAAAGTTTTAGCTTTCAGTGGTTTACAATCAACGTGTTGCAGCATTACTTCTGAAACAATTAATGAGAAAAATGCTTAC